GGACAAGCTTTCGAAACATACTACAAATGTATCGTCATGTAGAACATTTTGCATCATTTATAAAATAAAATCTATTTTGGTTGTTGGCAATTTATTCCAAGATAATGTATTTTATCTTTATTATTAGTTTTAGTTAACTTCCCGTAGGGTAAGTTATAGTAATCGCAAAAAATCGAAAATGAAAATTTCTATATATCTTTACGTTTCAAAGGTTTTTGAACATTTTGGCAAACCTTATTGTTAGAAAAACTGGATGTATGTGTGTATGTGTGTGCGGATACAAGTTTTTGTCGACGATTTTGGGAACACCGATCAACCGATTTGAATAATTCAAAAAACATTCGATTCGTTTTGATAAGAGACGTGCTGATTAGTTTTTGGCAAGAGCAGGTCTAGTCGTTCCGAAGATACGGGGCGAAAAGTGCAAAAACGGTAACTCAGTTTTTAAGAGAGCGTCCGATTTTAATAATTCAAAGACCAATTTACTTATATTGACAAGATGAAGAACTGATTAAATTTTTGGGAAGGTAGGTCGAGCGGTTATAGACTCTCAATAAACGTAAGTTCAAAAATGGCATTCAGGTCATGCAGGTTCAGCGGTTATGGACTCTCAACAAAAATAAGTTAAAAAAATGTCATTTGGCGGTCAAAAATGTTTATTGGACATATGTTCATCAAATTATCAGATATTTTATAGGGATTTTAATTATCTATACATATTTTGGGTAATTTTTTTGGGTTCCGTACCACGATTTTCGAAGTTCCAGCAATTGTATGAAATATAGTTGAAGTTATGAAAATCAATTTAATTGATTTTACTTTATTGTATAGTTAGTACACTACATGTATACTAACGTTATAAGCTACTATGTTATAGTAGGTACTACCTTATACATAATTATTACTTTTATTAAAAAACACTTACAAATTGTAGCTAGGTTCAATTTGAAACATAAAATTAATCTTAAATTAAAATTAGTACCTAAACAAATGTTAATGCATATTTTATATTTCCTATATCAATCCTTTTCACTCGCAAATTGAGCCATCTCGACAGCATCTGAGTACAAAGGGTTAAATATGAAAATTTTATTTTTTAACAAGTTGTCCAACTCTGTCTCATGCGGTATGTGAACAACACACCACTATATACGCTTCTCTTTCTTTCACATTCACCTCCATATCTTTCATTCTTTCTCACACTCTACTGTTTTGAATTGACAGTAGTCAGCCATGTTTCTTAGCGTCTTTCATACCGCAACAACGCAAGAGCGCGTACCGTTGCTTCTTGCTGAAGAAGTAATTGTAATAATATATTTATGTACTATATAATAGTTTATTCTTTTAATATTATTTGTTAATACGTGAATTATATTGTGAAGTGTTAATAATAATAAATTACTGTGTTTTGAAATATTTGTGCAATATGTTTGATGGTAGAAAAAATCGTCATTGCCATACGGTTGTTGTTTACACGGCTTAAGAATTAATGGAGCAAATGATGTAAACGGTTCCTTGAATTATCTGGAGTATGCAAATTTTAAGGTAATACTTATTTTAAATGTACATATGATTGTAATTTGGATTGCAATTAATATTTTTATATTGTGCAAATGTTACTTTTAATGTGAATAATCACAATAATTTTAAGAAATTTTGTAGGATTGACAGGTTAAAAATTATATATGATAAAATGTATGTACTTAATATTTATAATTACAATTATATATTGCAAATATATATTCTTTAACATGTCTATAAAACAAAATTTACAAAATATGTACTGTCAAGATATGGTACTTATGTGACCTTAGGAATAAACTTCCTCATGTACCGTTTGTATAGTATAATTTGTAATTTTAATATAAAGTTATTGAATGACATAATTGATTTTTGAGTTATTTGAGAAAATCCTTAACCCTGCGGTTTCCAACCTATGGGGCGCGCCTGCTCATGGGGGCACGAGGCTGTTCCAAAATACTATTTTTTTCCAAAAATGTTGAAATGATATAAAACTAGTGGAACATGGCATCGTGTCTTAAGGCAAATTGCTGGTACTTTCCGTACCAAAAACTAAATTATTAAAAAAAACTTTGCAAAACTTTGAAAAAAATAGATTTTTGAAAAGTATTGTAATTTTTCAAAAATTTTGAATTTTTTGAAAAAAATGGCTTTTTTGAAAAATTTGATTTTTTTTAATATTTTGATTTATTTTGAAAGTGATGCACATTTTTTTAAGCAATCGCATTGCATTGCTGATTTTGAGGCGAATATAAAATAAGCGCGTGAGCGCCGCGTATTTATCTAAAGTGTGAACATTGGTACCGAACCCATATAAATGTACACAAAATTTGTACTTATTCTTATAATCTTTATAAAATATCTGATAATTTCATGTGCATATGTCTAATATTCAGTTTTGACCGTCAAATGGACATTTGTTGGAGCTCCGGAGTTTTCACATTTGTTTCACATTTTTTATTGGAGCTCCGAAGACGCTGAACCTGCCTTTACAAAACTTTCACCAGTTGTTCCCTTCAAGTAAAATGTTTTTTGAATTATTTAAATCGAACGCTGAAATACCGTCTTTGACACTTTTTGCGCCGTATCTCCGAAACGGCTAGATCTGCCTTTGCTAAAAATGAATCAGCACGTCTCATTATCAATAAGAATTGAATCTGTTTTTGAATTATTCAAATCGGTTGAACCATCGACGAAAATTTGTATCCTCACACACATACACACGCGCGCGCTCAAACACACACACATCCATTTTTTCTAAGGTATGCCAAAATTTCAGTAACCTTTGAAACGCAAAGATATATTAAATTTTAATTTTCGATTTTTTTACGATTACTATAACTTTACCCTAAAGAGAATGAATAAATAATTATTTATTCTGTTTATGTTTACTTAACATTGCATATCATTTTGTAGTCTCATAATTAATTTCTAATATAAGTTGATAAAATTAAATTCTTAAAAAAAATTAAGGGGCGCAAGTTTATAAGAAACCCCTCTCTTTCTCGTTCTCGGTCGGTACCAAAAGGTTGGAAACCACTGCCATAAGCAGTAGTCATACAATTTAATATCTTTAAATAATAGTTTTTCTCACACACTAAATCTAAAAATATTCCCTTTATTATGAAATTTTTATTATTAACTTACTAAAGTAGAAGTTTTTTTTATCAGAAGATCCTACTTGCTAATCCAATGTTTTCTCGAATTGTTTGAGACCAATAGTAGAAAAAGTATTTATGTGTAAGTAAAATTTGGGCTTTTCATCGATGTTTTCTTAAAAAAACCTAGACCGATTTCAAGATTGCCAGAGCCGCTTCTTCAGAATTAGCATATAAGTGCAAGATCTGCCCACGTTTTAACTAAAAGTCTAAACAGATTTTAAAACTTCAGAAACGTTTGAAAGATATCAGTTGGAAATCGTGCTGATTAGTTATTGGTAAAGATCGGCCGGTCCGTCTCTTCGTAACTAATTTCAAAAAAAAAATTTTGTCGGTTTTGATAAAGGTGATGATTACATTCTAAACTATTATGGAAGTGCGATAAGTTGCTTATTTTAAAAATTTACCAAGTTTGATAATACATGGGTGTGCCATGGGGTAACGGTTAAGCGCACTGCCTTCTTTCGACATAATCGTGTATTTGAACTCCCACTCTGGACAACTTGATATCATGCAGTAGTGATATCAATTTTTACTTGAAAAATATAGATAAAAATATGTTTCCAATTGAAAGTAGCCCAATTCGGCACTCTGGTGTAAAATGGCAACGGGAAATCTTTTACACTATTCTTTCCTGAATCGAGTTGAAGTTTAACTCACAATAAGAACCGCTGATAAGAAAGAACGCTCCCTTCATGCTATTGACAAGAGCCTGAAATAATATCTATTATTATTGATTACGGCTTGCTTATGAATAAATAAATAAATAAATAAATAAATATGTGTACAGCGCGCTGCAAAAATGCAAACTTTAATTATTTTTTATGATTAAACCGCTTTTCATAGGCCTCTAATATTTTACCACGGTCAGTTTGGGCATAAAATCTACCATTAACGCAAATTTCAGAAAAATCCCAGGCGAGCAACGCGCGGGTTCTACTTGTCAGCTGCCAACCTGTCCCTGGGGCACAGCACCTATTTTTAACTTCCCTTAGGGCAAGTTATTGTAATCGTCCAAAAATTATCGAAATTGAAAATTTTTGCATTTCTCGACGTTTTGAAGGTTTCTGAACATTTTGGCATACCCCAGAAAAAATGGATGTGTGTGTGTATGTATGTATATGGATACAATTTTTCGTCCACGTTTTCGGGCGCACGAATCAACCGATTTGAATGTTTCAAAAAACATTCGATTCCTATTGATAGGGAGATGTGCTGATTAGTTTTTGGCAAAAGCAGGCCCAGTCGTTTCAGAGATATGGAGCAAAGAGTGCAGAAAATAGAAATTGAGTTTTTGAGAGATCGGAGCATCCGATTTGAATGATCCAAAAAACATTCAATTCGTATTGACGAGGAGGTCCAGGTTCGTATTGGTGGTTAGTTTCTGGCAAATGCAGGTCAAGCGGTTTTGAAGATACACAGCTAAATGTGCAAAAAATGGCAGTTTTTGAGAGAACTAAGCGTCCGATTTAAATGATTCAAAGAACTATCTGCTTGTTTTAACAAAATAATTGATTTTGAAAAAAAAATTTTTGTTCTAAATTTTTTTGTTTCAATTTTTCATTTTTTTTTAGATATTTTTTTTTTGTATATCGAAAATAATTCAGATTTAATTTTTAATTCTGGCTAAAGTAGTAATATACTTTAAACAAATAATTTCAACTTTGCAATTCAGCTTGTATAATTCTTATAGATATTAGACAATGTTACAATATTTATATTAATCTATTTGAAAACATCTAATATTCCTCGAATTTTTCATTACGTTACGGGAAGTTCCAGCAATTTGTCTTAAGACACGATGCCACACACTCCACTAGTTTATTTTTTAATGGGACATACACCGTGTATGTTCTAATTCTAAGCACGTGTTAATGCAATTATACAGATATTATGAATCTGTTTCAAAGATATCAATTGGAAATCGGAAATCGCTTTGATTAATTTCTAGTGAAAGCTAAAACCTTATTTTTCAACTTCGAAGTAACAGTTGAAAATAGCTATAATTTTATGTAAATAGCTAAATCTCATTTCTTATTGATCATTTCGTTTGTTTAAACATATCGTGCAGCCTTAATCAAAATTGCCTTAAGGCAAAATGCCACTTACACCTATTTGAAAAGTCCCTGCCTTGATAATAGTTATCGCTAAATCAAAGTGCTTTTAAATTAAATATTCTTCATTTCTACTATGAGAAATTGGTATTATTATTTTCTTCATAACTGAAATAATTTATATTATCCGGTATACATCTTCGCAGACAATTATATTGAAAAAATATGCAGATTAGAATGTGTAAACTAATTTGCATTTATCATGTTGACGGCTGTGAAAGTATATGAGAAATGCAACTGGAGCAATTGTAAAATAACATTGTTTTTGTAGGAATAATAAATTGTGCAAACTAGAATGTGCCGTTGTGCCATACAACTATGTAAACAATGAGTAATATAATCGGTATGCAATGTTATTACGTGAAATTTATAATAATAAATGTAATAATAATAAACTTATAAGAAGATATCTTGAGTTATCTAGATGATAAGGGGTCTCTGATCTTTTGGAGACAAGGCTTCGGGTTCAAACTGTGTTTTGAGTACAATCTTATATCAAGTAGTTGTTATAGCTATTTTTACTTGAAAATAGACAAAAAATTTGTTTCCAAGTAAAAATTGCTCTTTCAGAAAATGTTAAGCTAAAAATATTAATTTGAAGTACGTAAAATTAACACTTTCAGGATGGCACCGATTTCAAAACAATTTCCTTTACCGGCTGTAAACTTGATTTCATTGTGTATGTTATGCAATTTGTTTGATAAAAATTTGTGGTCATTGAAGGACATACATTTATAATATTAATTTATTTTTGATCATTTTATAAAGGATGGTGACGTTCAAAACAATTTCCAAAATGCATAGCTGGTTGATTTTGACATGTTTTACAATAAAATGTTGTTCGCCGCCTCCCTCCTGGTGCTTTTCTGTTAGAACAGACAATACAATCCCTTTTTCTTTCACTCGCATTTAGCCACTGCGACTGATTAGTCAGTATATTTGGTCATTTTTTTTGCTGCCATAATGGTTTATTTTTTCTATTATATTGTCTAATAATTCATTTATAAAATATAAAGTAAAATAATCTATTAGATGTCTTATATTGCTTGGTATTTGTATTTGGGGTGTTTGTTGATGTATGTCAAACTCGATTATTGAAGGAGAATCGACACATTCGCTAATGTCTTTCCGCTCTTCATTTAATTTGTCGAACTTCTTCTTTTTGTTGGTTGGATAATATTTTCATCACATTCATCACTATCATAGGTGCGAATAGTAATTTCGTAAAATTTGTCTGTATGAATGTCTATTT